CCAGGCTGGCCTCGAACTCACAGAGATCCGCCTGCCTCTGCCTCCCGAGTGCTGGGATTAAAGGCGTGCCCCACCACCGCCCGGCAAGGACTAGGCTTTTGCTGTGATGTGTCCTGTGGGCCTTGTGTGTGCTGCAGGAGCACTCTAGCAGGGGCATGTTTTTAACCTGGCACAAAGCCTTCAGCACGTGGGCCATGGCAGGACATGTAGTGATAGGCCTGTTTGGTTGCATCTGAAGTTTACATTGCATGGGGAAGGTTTCTTTTCTTTTCTTTCTTTCTTTTCTTTCTTTCTTTCTTTTTTCTGACACAGGATTTCTTTGTGTAGCCTGGCTGTCCTGGAATTTGCTCTGTAGCCTAGGCCGGCCTCAAACTCAAGAAATCTATCTGCTTCTGCCTCCCAAGTGCTGGGATTAAAGGCCTGTGTGTGCCACCACCCAGCAACGTGGTGAAGGTTTCTTATGGGAATGAGGTTGCAACTTACTCAAAAGGTCCAATCACTTGTGGCTTTCTGTCTCTGGCATTCTATGATTATTAAGGATGTTTCTCTTCTGAGTGGTGCAGGCTTGCTATCTTCGTGGCTTGAATTCTACCCATATTGCTGATGACAGGTGTCGGACTTGGTTAGGAGAATGGTTGCAGATTTCCTGCAGCCTAAAAGGTAAGGCAAACCTCTGTGGATGTACTGCTGAAATCTGAGCTTTAGAAAACAAACTAAACAACAACAACAATAAAAACCAAACAAATCCCAAACCAGGGTCTCCCTGTGTAGCTCTGGCTGGTTTGGAACTCAGGATGTACCAAATTGGCTTTGAACTTGCGGCTATCCTCCTGCCTCTCCTCCTGAATGCTGGGATTACACGCATTGCACTACCATACATGCAAAGTACTCACTTTTGTACTTTATTCTGGGATTACGTGCCCAGTATCATGAAGCTTTTCTCTGTCCTATATTTATTTTGTAATTGAACAGACACAGACTCAGGTGCCTACTACAGCACAGACTGCTATAGACAAAAGGACTGCTTGCTGCTCTGAGGCAGAGCTTCATGGCCTGGGCACTACTGGCATTTTGTTTAGGGGGCTTCTCATGCACAACAAGGTATTGAACAAGTCTGTTTAACCGTTGCCTGTACCCATCCCATGGCAGGCACAGTCCTTTGTCTCTAGGGTGCCAAACAAAAGGTATCTAGACACTGCCAGTTGTTCCTGAGCTTGGGGCGCTAAGGAAAGGGACAGGATTGTCCTGGGTGAGAGGCAGTCTCGAAGCTAAGAAATGTCCTCACAGCACCAACTTCTACCACAAGGTGACCGGCACCCTGTGAGACACAGATACTGGGGGCAGAGGAAGGCATGCATGCAGGGGTGAAGCAGGGATTCGTAGAGAATGGTCCCATGTAGCTCCCCTCCCTGGCTTTCTACCCGGTGTCAAGCTCTGCTCAAGGCAGTTAAAAGGTAAACCCTGTTCTGGCCACGCACTAACCCGACGGTGTTTTCAGAGGCCGAGCTATCCCTCCTGCTGCACAGCGTGGTCCTGCTCTCCACCAACTACCTTGAGACAAGGCGCTGAGTGAACCGTGGAGAGTGACGTCCTGCAGTCAATAATGTAGTAGTGTGGGACCAAAGCCCCTGCCAGCAGTCTGTACACTGCTAGTGTGGGAGGCAGAAGAGCAGGTCCTGTGGGCTTCGCAGCACGCTACCCATCTGGGAGCTGTAGCCATTCCTCACAGCTTGAACCTCACAGCTTGAACTAAACACACGTGTGGTGCCGTCCCGTCATGCTAACCTGGAACTGGCAAGCACCTCTGGTACTGGACTTTTGTTGTGATGTAATGGTTAGGTCCTATTAAGTCAGTTTTTGCCCAGGTTGGAATCATTTGGCCTAAAATTCATGACTGCCATGGTTTGTTTTTAAATTTTTATTTATTTTTTTTTCCTGAGATGAGTCTATGTTGCCCAGGCTGGCCTCAAATTTCTGTGCTCAAGGGATCCTCCCACCTCAGGCTTCTGGGTGCTGGGGCTACAGGTCCAGGTCACACTGGCCTCACTGCCGTGTTCTTCACATCCGTGAGGGGGTTTTTCGCTGGTTTTCCTGAGACCTTGTTTGAGGACAGCCTCTTTACTTGTGCTGGGATCCAAGCTGAAGCACCAGTGCTCTGGGAGGTGTGAGGAGCTGGCCAAGTGCTCGACACTCAGCCCTTTCCACGGAGACTTTGGGTGCCAAGAACACTGCTGCTTGGACTGGGGTGCTGCACCTGGGCCTGCACCCAGACGCCCTGCCGGTCTTTTCTCATCCCTGCCCCTTTTATTTTGGCGTTTTAAAAGAGATAGAGTCTCACTCTATAGCCCAGGCTAGCCTTCAATTCCTAGCAATCCTGAAAACTCTGCCACAGCTTCCTGGGTACTAGGATTACAGCATGAGCCACTAGGCCTGTCCTGTCCTTTTTGATGTGACCAAAAGTAGGAGCACTTTCCACGTCACTAACGTGGACCGTCCACCCTCTTCCTTTAGTATCCTTAGTTTATGGGAACATTCTAAAGAAGGTGAAAAGGAAGAGGATCGGCTGCCCGGCCCCTCCCCGCACCTGTCCCCCAGTGTCTTAATTCCCAGGCTGTCTGTCACACAGCCCTAAGGACCTTCCTCCCATGTTTGCTCCCCACTGTGTTGTCCTGAGGCATCTGGAGCAGTGGCTGCCTTCTTTAGGCCATGGTCAAATCGTGTAAGGTACTCCTTACTGCCTGGCCCTGGGAGACCAGATCTACATCAAGACCGTAAACTGGGCTTGGCTGTTTGTTGTGTGTCCACCTGTGATAACTTACTGTAAATGCATGAAGCACTGTTTAAACCAAGTAAAGACTGCCTGAAACCTGTTTTTGGGAATTACTTACTCACTTTACTCATTTTCCTGAGGCTTCTTTTTATAAGACTGATGTAACATAACTAATGGATATGTAATTGGTTGGGACCCAGTTTTCTGATGGGATGAAAGCAAATTTGAAAGGAGCTGTTTAGTGTTCTCTGTCAGACACACTAGAACAGCCGTCGTTCAGCAGGGTCTAAGAGGTAGAGGCTGTCGGGGCTGCAGCGGTGCCCAAGGCGACCCAGGCAGGACAGGTTCTGTGCTCAGAACACAAGAATCTACGTCTCTCTCTCACAGTAGCCCACCCCGGACATCAGTTCCTAACTGACCTAGACAGACCCACAGCCACAGCAAGGGAAGCACCTTCCTCTCCACACGTAACTGCAGCTCGTGAAGATAGTATCACACCCTTCTTTTGAATATTTCTTTAATATTACATTTAAATATTCTCTTTAAATACAGCATTATTACAATGTAAAGAACCTAGAGGGAGAAGTTGTTTTCAGAGAGCCAGACAAGCTTTGGATTCACACTGAGAACATGACCCGTGCTCAGTATGCGAGGAGACAGACAGCATGGCCACGAGAGCTGCGGTGATGGGCCACAGTTCACCTAGGCCTGCCTGAGGGGACCGTTCTGCTTCTGTGACCAGAGGCCAAGCCTTCCTAGCAACCAGGAACTATCACTTTCAGTTAGCACCAGAAATCTGATGGACTCAGTTGTAGAAAAGGTCCTTGACATTCGTCAATGCTAAATAGTTAGCACTCAGAAGTTTGGGATCAGTTTGAATGAGAACATGGAATTAATGAAGAGGAATAAGAAACTAGAGTTATACAGAAATACCAAGTATCTTGGGGTTGGCTAGTCTTTATGACAATGACTAGTATGTTCCTTAATGAATGTCCAAGTCCAGGGGCTCAGAGGTGGAGTCTTCAGGAGGAAAGGTGCCGGATCCTCCTTTCCAGCAAACTTTCCAAGATTCTTCTCTCCACCAGTAAAAGTCTCAGTTTAGCTTTGGTTTTGGGTTTGAGAGTTCTAGGTGAGGGTGAGAGTATGTTGGCCTCTGGTACTTAAGGTAACTCTTGTGAGGCTGGAGAGAGATAGGTATTTCCTTCCATAAGAGCTCCAACAATAAAACCAAGCAAACCCAGAAATGAACAGCAGTGGCAGAATGGGTCAAAATCAGGATCTGTATCAAATACAGGGGGCTCCAGGCTTAGGGTCGGGGAGTTAGAGATGTTTCTGCTGCCACCCACAGTCAAGTTCGCTCCGCGACACCAGGGCCTTGTTATCCCACCAAAAATAAATACAGCTGAGCCAAGTGGTGTGCACCTCAAACCCAGCAATCGGGATGCATGACCAGGAGGAGGACTGCCGCAGGTTGGGGGCCAGCCTGGGCTACATAGTAAGTTCCAGGCCAGCCAGGGCTATTTATCGAGACCCTGTCTCAAAATCAAAGTAAGTTTTGTTTTTCTTTCCTGGTTAGTAAAGAACGATAGAGGAAAACTGTGTTTTGCTCTTGCCACCTCCATTTAACCAGGAGGCAGAGGGAACATTGCCAATAAAGAAGTCAGTGCTGAATGGGGATCCGTGCCCTTTAACTAAGACAGGAGAGGAGTAGGACTCTGAGGTAAGTGCTGAGTCTGAGTCCCAGTCTATAGATTCCAAAGATTATAATCAGATCTTGAATCCTTTGGAATCTGGGAGTCCTATGTCACATACTAAGAATCAGTTTGACTTTGTTTTCATAAATCTCCAAGATGGAGGGGTCCAATAAAACCTGAAGTTCTCGGGGACTGAACTGTAACATCCAAAGAGCTCTCTAACCCTAGATAACCAAGGACCACAAGGGTATGTATAGAGAAATCTTAACTAGCTGATGACCTTGTACTACACTTTATATTCCATTTAGAGCCAAGCTCTCCCAAAAAGAGTGTGAGTGTGTGTGTGTGTGTGTGTGTGTGTGTGTGTGTGTGTGTGTGTGTACACACTAGGTGAGAAAGCAAGCATACAGTCATCTTCCAGAATGTTCTACCTGATGAATTATGCTCTGTACCATATCCATATCCAACCTGGATTTTTTTCTTTTAAGGAGAAAAGATGGGGAAAAGACAGAGAAGTTTAACTCTAGAACCTAAGAACATATGAAAGAAAGAATTCAAGTTACAGACCAGGAATCCCATTTGCAGAGCAGGTCAGGGAACACAAAACACGTTGAAAATTAACTTCTTTCCCAGTTAAGAGGTGGGAGAAAGCAGGGTCAATTTTTAGGATGGGAGTTTTGTACAGAAGCAGAGATTCTTCTGTGGCCTCCGTTCTAGACTCAGCCGAGATGCCTTTCTAACAGTGTGACTGATACACCAAGATGGATGAGGAGGAGCTGCCCTGCAGGGAGCTAGCTGCTCTCATCCTTAGTTCTGGCCCCATGCATAAAGAAGAGCTACTTGAGCTACCCAGCTCACTGTGTGACCGACATCTTTGTTCCGGTGGCCCAGAGAGCTCAGTACTGGAAACTGAGTGAGGCTGGTCTCTTTCCCTTTAAAAATACAAGTGCTAACAACCCCTTCCTACCCATTTTCCTAAGATTTTCAATAAAATAACCTGGGAGCAGCAGTCTTGTTTTGAAATGGCGTTAGATAATAAATAGAGAATGAGCAGTGTCTGTCTCGGGTCACACTGTCAGAGGGAGCTCTAGGGCAGAGTCTTCAGGGGTCCGGTCCTCACTCTGCTGGGAGTTCTGCCCTCCACAGTCCTCTTCATTGTCCATTCGGAAGGGCAGGCCTGAGGGAGACCACGAGGGGTGGAAGTCTTCGCTCTCGGGCTCCTTGGGGCTGCAGTCATCAGGCAATAGTTTGTCAACAGTGGGTGTTTTCCCCACCTCTGGTTTGCAGAGGGCGGCTGAGTCTGAGGGGCTGCGAGCCACCAGCGAGGTAACAGGAAGGGAGAAAACACTCAGATCTTTCTCCTTGGGGAAGGAGGCTGTGCCCTCTTCTGAAGCAGACTCTCCTTTCACTCCCAAGACTGGCCTCTGCTCCACCTGGTAGTACACCAGAGGACCACTGTTCAGGTAGGACGGCGGGCTGCTCACGGCGGAGGCAGCCGCGTGCTCGGAGTTCTCAGTAAAACACAGGACGGAGGAACCTGGGGGCAGCTGAGCTTGGATGAGAATGGGGGCGGCCAGGCCTGGACACAGCTCTTGGGGAACAGCCAGGGGCTCCTCCAGGATGCACACGCCCAGACTCTCCATGCTCGAGTCCAAGCTAGCGCTAGGGCCGCTCGGGTCCTCCTGCGCCCGGAGTCGCTCCAGCTCCTCTGCGCTCTGCAGGTGCATCACTGCGGTCTCGTTCTCGGCGATGAACTCCTGGAAGTCCTGGGTCTCGGAGCTCTGGGCTCCAGACAGGCTGCAGCCAGCAGCAGGCAAGGGCTCGTCCTCCGAGGCTGCGGGGCGGCTCACCTGCCGTTTGCTCTCCAGCTCCAGCTTCATGATAGTGTGGAGGTAGTGAGTCCGCACTCGGATTGGATTAAATTCAATTCGCCCAGCCATGTTTCCACAGCCATCCCTGGAGCAGCCACAAGGAAAGGACATTCGATCCACCTGAGGGAACACAGGAAGTTGTGGCAAGATAAGACCAACAGCTCTAACAGCAGAGCAGGTGACATCAGCTGGCACACACGGGCAGCTGGGATTTAAGCAGTGACCAGTTCAAAGCTGACATGCAGCACAGTAAGAGCACTTGGCAGTGGTTATCAGACCACCGCATCTCCGCTCAGCCATTAATTAGTGCCGGCATCTCTAGAGTCATCTATCTGTTTTCTCCCCTGGGCTTTGTTTCCTCTTCTAAATAAAAAGACAAAACCCCATCAAAGGCTCCTTCCAGTTAGCAAGTCTAGTGCTACCTCTGAATGCTGACATCTCAGAGTAGAAGAGAGTGCTGTGCCTCAGGGACTTCCGGAACTTACCTGGTTCACGGGACAATAAAAGGCTGGGCCCAAGCCTTCTGCAGTGACAGGCGTGGTAAGGGAGTGGAGATCTTGCTACTTCAATGCAATACACTCTAGGGAGACTAAGCAGACGCCTTAGTGCTGAGGGCTAAAGTGAAGGTTCACGCTGTGACCAGCTCCTCACCACCTGCTTCTCCCTGAGGGTTAACCAGAGTAGTTCTGAAGCAGTGACCAAGATAATTACTTACAGCCAGGGCTATCTAGAAAGGAGATGTGCTGGCATGGTGGCACAGCCTTTAATCCCGACACTGAGGCGGAGGCAGGTGAATCGCTGTGAATTTGAGGCCAGCCTGGTCTACATGGTGAGTTCCATGCCAGCCTGGGCTATTCAGTTTTAAAGAAAAAAACTAGAAAGGAGATGCTTTCTGCCTCTTTATCTGCCCTTAATACCCCAAAATAAAACTCAGAAGAATGATAGAGCAGACAATAAAACACATCCTATAATATCAGCTTATTGAAATCTCTAGACCCAAAAGAAATCTTTATCCAGTCCCACCAGTTCATAGGACTATTCTCAGGCTTGTGAATAAATGACTCATCCCGGGACTGCCGTCTGGAAAGAAATACTTTACCAGACCTTTGTTACTAAATAAAGCCACAGGAAAGAGTTAAAGGTCTCAACCCCAGTGATCAACACCGGTACCCTTAGAGTGACGTTCCCTATGTGTCCCTGTTGGGGTAGTATTTATTTTGGCTATTTACATGTAAAACTAAATAAAATCCAGTTTCTCAGTCTTTATATGTCTGGTGTTCTGCAGTGGTGTAGGACAACATGGTTTCCAGGAAAACAGGAATTCATACAATCGCTTAGAATGCCAAGAAGATACTTAAGGATTAAATTCTGCCAGCTCAGGTCTGGTCCTGAATTAGAGAATCTCAAAGCTACTTTGATTTTCACAAAATTGGAAAGAGATGCTGTGTGCAGGTAAGAATCCATAGGCTGAGCTGGGTGGTGGTGGTGGTGGTGGCGGCGGCGGCGGCGGCGGCGGTGGCGGCGGCG